GAGAGAGAGAGAGAGAGTCAGTAATAAACATTATCAATACACTCTCATAAAATGAAAACCCAAATATCCCTGTAAATTCATAAAAACAACTAGACACGCATCCTCACTCGTACAGCATGTCCCGTTAATCTGAATACGCTCTAGCCTGTCGACGCTTCACAACGGTCGCGTTTTGTAGATTAACCGACGACGCTCAATTTGACAAGATGATCGCACTTTCCTTCTCTCACATGTCTCAATTCTGGCCCTTTCACTGATAATTTGACCAAATAGAGCATCGTAATTTTATATAAGGAAGGTTAGTAAGCTGTCAAGTACATTGGCTCTCATAGATAAGGTGAGAAATATGAGAAAAAACTACACAGCCTGAAACGGAGGTAACCTTCTGGCTCGACCGAAAAACATATTTAATAGATTATATACTTTGATATCAATAAGAGTTATTATTCAGTGTAGGACTGTATCAAGCGATATGGTGGCCTCCACTCTCAGTCTTAAGGCAAAGGCCAACAAAATTATAGCACGCTTGTTCTGGCTAAGTACACACATTGGTTCCTTTAATAAGTGACGTTGAATGAGCTGTGGAGTTCTACAAGCTGTGTCTTGCCAGAATATGTTAGGTGGAGTTTTCTTGGCCTTGAAAGAGATGCAAAGTACAAATGCTACAGTCCTAAGTATCATTTGATGTTTATTTGTATATTAGTGAGTGCTTGTGAGCTTACCTTCACTTTGTGTAAATGTGGGTCAGAGTATCCCATACTTTAAAGGAAGTTATAGTAATTTTACACAATCCCTACACATACGTAATTGTGACAATTTTGGTATCGATGGATTATTCTCCCCCTCTAGTACACATATATGTAGAAATTATGCAAAGGAACCCCCTAAAGCCCCACGTTCTTGTCTCCGATAGCAGGGGAAGGCATGAAAGGTACCAGGGAAATTGTGGGGTAAAATACGAGGGCCAGCAGTCCCCACCCAGGAAAACAGAGAATCCTGTATGTATTCATGGCAGGAGAAAGTGTCGGACAGACTCGGCAATGGGCGCTCCCACATAGTAGTGGAATGCTGTTTCTTGCCGTGAATACATGAAAGGTTCTTTTTTCTAGGAGGAGGCTTCAGACAGCACACCTGCATTAGACAATATAGTGAGTAATTCTGTGTATATTATTCATATTTTACCATGCAATTTCCCTGATACCTTTCATGCCCTCACCTGTTATTGGAGGCAAGATTGTCGCTAATGTGGGTGTTTCCACAGCATGATTTTGAAACATTTGGATAGAGAGGGAGAGAGATTCATTGATACGAAAATCGTCGCAATTGATGATGAATATTTACTATGTATTCCCACTCTATATGGTGTCTTTAACTGAATGAGAGTTAAAGAGAAATGGTAAATATTCAGAATACCCTCACCTGACTGATCACGGTGATAGTAGTATGGATGGTTTCCATTCACTCTCACCTACCCATCTGTATAGAAATTATGCTATGGAAACCCCCTCAGTACCCACAATCTTGGCCTCAATAACAGGGGAGGGCAGGAATGCTCTAGGAAAATTCTGGGGTAAATATGAATAGTATACTTAACATTGGTCAATATATAGTCATATGCAACCCCATGGGGCCTGCTGCCCCCAATCCTTGCCTGTACACAAAGAATCCACCATGTATAGGACAGACACTGCATCGAGATCTCCCATGTGTTGATAATACACTCTCTCCTACCATAAATACATAGAGGATTCTTTGTGTCCCAGAGCAAAGGGGGCTGTGCCCCTGCATTTGACTGTATATTGACCAATGCATTCTGTATTATTTATATTTTACTGTGCAATTTCTCTGTTACCTTTCATGTTCCCCTCCACAGTCAGGGCTAAAACTGTGGGGTTTTAAGAGGTGGGGGGATCTATAACATAATTCCTTTAAATATGGGTAGTAAAAAGTGAGAGGATATGAGTAGTCTGTTTATCATTGTTTTATGTTTCTTTATAACTATTATATGTTTTTTTCCATCCTTGCAGCCTTTTTCTAAGTTATAAAGTTATTTTGTAATATGGTATGCCTTTGAATTCTCTGAATATATTATCAGTTTTAATCAAATAGATTGTAATTGAGTTGAGAACTTTTGGCTAAGGCTATGTGTTTGTTAAGATGTAGATCTAATATTGCAGTAGAAATATATTGCTTTATTTACTATTATATATTTGTAAACCCTATAGATCTCATACCATATATTGTGGTAGCTTTTTAATGTCTGAAGTAGCTTATTGCAGTAAATATTTGATAGCAACAAGTGTGTAAATTGCTTGATAACTTTTTTAGGTGTGAATTGTTTTCTCAAAAAATTCAGTTGACTAAATTTCATATATTGCTTTATTTACTATTATATATTTGTAAACCCTATAGATCTCATACCATATATTGTGGTAGCTTTTTAATGTCTGAAGTAGTTTCACATAAGCTGTAGTTGATATGCAGGAAATATTACAAAGCATGCTCCAGAGTGTATTTACTGTGATCTTGGCATGTTCCAGTTTACTTGAATATGATTTAAGCTACTTGATTTCTGTGATCCTGGGATGATTTAGAATTATATTGACATTATTTTTCCCTATTGTTTCTTGTTTCTCCTGTGCCCTGATCGAAATGGTATTAGATTTTTTGTTTTTTGTATTATGATTGCAGAGAAGATCTCAGAGTAACATGGAACTAGCACTGGATGTCGGCTATATATAAAAGAGTGTCTATTTAAAACCCAGCCATCTACCTATTCCCTTATTTTATCTGACACAAAATTTGTGTCCCCTGATTTAACCTGATGAAATATGACTCATTTTCTAAAGCCTGGCCTACCCTATCCCAGCCTGCTTCTTATATCCTTATGGAAGCGAATAAATGATAAAAGAAAATTGTAGTAATCTCTGACCATACATCTCATTTCAGGAATAGCAGCTGTTACTAAGTTTTCAGCAAAGTTTTATATATTCCTAAAATCTCATATGTTTAGTATAGACTATATAATGTAAAAGATTTATTAATGCTATTCTCTTACTCTTCTTAGAGTTTCATCTGTGCTCCTGTTGAAGATGGATTTTTCAGCTGTCCAGTTTGGGGAAGAAATGCTTGGTTAGTAAACATTTGGTATTTTGTCTTAGATTTGATATTTGTGATAGTTGTTCAACCTTTGAAGTCATAAAGAACTAGATTATTATATGCAGATGGCTAATGGAAGTATTTGTGTGACAAATGTTCTGTAAGAGAATCTATTAGATTGATATTTGCTGTAATGCAGATTCTGTTTTAGCATGCAACAATATTTTTGATAGAAAGACTTGCCATGTGCTAAGTAAACTTTTGCATATCTTGTGTTTTTCTGCTACTAATACTTACATAAATGATGTGTGTGTGCATATACCAAGGCTAATGCAAATCCATCCAATAGGGTATGATGGGAGCAACACCTTCAGCGAAGAGGGCACAGCCTATGCAGAAATATACGGTGGGGAGGGTGGGGAAGGCTTCCCAGCTGGTGGTGAATTTGCCCATGACTCCCAAGAAGTAGAATTCATGAATGGTGGAGATTACCAGGAGAGCCAGACGGTGTTGGTGGATGGAGGCGACCGCTTTGGAGTGTCAGCTGTCACTGTGGACAGGAAGGAGGAGCTCGTCTGGATGGGTAACTCTGGGGTAAGGAGGGCAAAGTATTAAACACTCAAAACAAAGAAACTCTTGGATAAAGAGAGAGAGATATAAGAAATTGAATGGATTATATAACTTTCATTCTTCCATTTATTTAAAAAAAAAAAATCAAACGTTTACAGGGACACGTGACCTCCTATCTCAGCACAGAACTCATGAAATATACATCTTTTCAAGTTCATGCCACAGAAGAAATCCGTGATTTAAGGTCAACTGATGCAGGTGTTCTGGCCCTCACACCTACTTCACTAAACCTTTGGACCAGACAAGGAATCCCAGTTTTTTCCCATAGGTAAGCATTGTTTTGTTTATGTTTCCAAGAACCATTAGTTGTATTGAATGGGTAAGAAAGTCTTAAGAAGGTTCTTAAACCAGATAAGTAGTGATACAAGCATTGTAAAAAGTATCCAGTGATTGACAAAGGATTTTAAAGTCTGAAATTAGATGTATGGGTAATTAAAGTGAAATTTGTTTCCAGATCACCACAGTTAGAGAACATGCAGTGCATGCTTCAACTCGGGGGCAACTTTTCTCATCGCCTTCTGCTTGGGGGTCATCAGGGCTCCATGGTGGAATATGACCTCACACGGCAAGAGCAGACTCGATGTGTAAGTTTTATGCTTTATGGGTGAACTGTAATGGAATAAGATGTAATGTGACTTATGATCGTGTAAGAGACCATTGTTCCTGCATGTGTTGATTGCCAGAATTGAGATTTTTATAGATTTGGCATCTTGTTTTATAGAATGATTTGGGGTATTTTATTTATTCTTTCTTGCACTGTATTGGTTTCATAAATTTTTAAAGATTTAATTTCTTTTTCTTGTTATTTTTACTGTTTTAAGGTATTATTCAATTTAACATAGAGGAGAGAATCAGTTACGAATTCTGCAATCGTTTTTTCTACCTTTGTGTAATTTGCAGCACCAGGTAGGAGAACAAGGTTGTGTAATCTTGCGTGATCATGCCCGTTTTGTGTGCCATGGAGACTTAACAGGCAGGATTGTTCTCCATGATCCTCGAACAATGCGACAGGAGCACTACTTCCAGGCGCACACAGGAAGCTTGTCAGACTTTGATGTCCTTGGGAACTACATTGCAACGTGTGGCTTCTCAAACAGGTTAGCTAGTTGGAGTGTTGGTGTGAGTTTTCTTTCTCTTTTTTCTTTTTTTTTTTTCTTCTTTTATTGCTTTGCCTTTTACAAGACATTGATTAGCTATGTGTAGGCATGGGGTATACCTCATTGTCATAGGCCCTATGTTGAAAATCTTAGGCAAAGATAAATAAAAAAAAACAAACTATTTTTTATGAAAAAGGAGCATATATATCATAGAACAATATTTTAGTTTCCTTTACTTTGCACTTTGTAAATTTACAAAGGAAAACTTCATATTGATCCAAACCCAATTTGAATTTCAGCTACTCACAAATCCCTCTAAATCTCACACGAAAATAAATGGCATGAGTGGAAATGATAATTGCTTAAGGTTTCACTCATAATTTCTTGCTTGCAGAATGGGACAGATGATGGGTGACCAGTTTGTTATGGTGTTTGACTTGCGGATGATGAAGTTGTCCCTGCCTCTGAGGGCACTAGTCCCTCCTTTCCTTCTCCGGTTTGTGCCTGGCCTCTCATCATGCCTGGCCGTGGTCTCGCCCCTCGGCCACTGGCAGCTCATGGATGCAGGGCAGCCTGACAATGCCATCATGAGCATGAGCTATCAGGTATGTTGGGGAGATATGTTTTTGTGGTTAGTGTCTTCTTGTTTGGTGAAAACTTTTGTTTTATGTTATTTTTATTTTTTTGTTCTTTTTATAAGGGGTGAATTAGATTTTTAAAAATGATCTGAATAAGGTTTACTGAAACCTATTCTCTCTGGGAAAAGGGAATTTGATAACAACTCAATGTCTGATGCTAAGATTAAAGTGATCAAGTAATAGGCCTAACTAATCATCTAGTATGTGGAACCCTGTCCCTTCACTTGGACTATGCCATGTATTGTTGCTGTCATGTTGGTAAGTGTGCAGTGTTTTTTAATTACTGGGGCTACTTGGGAAAAAGAGGTTTTGTTTTTAAGGAGTTATCAGGTGGTTGTGTGGTCGGCTCAAGAAGGATTTAGGATCTTGCCTGATAGCAATAATATTTACACTAGACCTCTTGGAGAGAAAAGAGCTTTTTCCATTTCTCAGAAGCCTCATTTGCTAAGATATGTTAGTTCATGTATAACCCGTGTCATTTGATTTTCTGTTTATCCTCCAATCTGATTCCTTTATCCTCATCTTTGGCTTACTAGATTGACTAGAATAAGGATGTGTGACTAATTGTTTTGACAACTAGGCTTCCAAAATAGATCTATCATGTAGTCCAACAATATGTATGATATTGTTTTTTCCTAACTCTGGTGTTATTCCATAAATGACTGTTCTAATCAACAAGAAAATGAATTGATATTGTTTATATCTCTTGCTATTTACATGTTTATCACCTATATTATTTTGCAATTTATGCATGTATATGCAATTTATAATATATGTTAAGAGCTTGCACATTAATCAATTACTCTATTTTGCATTTATGCTTCTACAGGTCAACTGCTCACCAGAGAGTGTCATCACAACGTTTGACGTAGCATCATCATCACAGGCCTTAGTGTTTGGGGATAATTTGGGGTCGTTGCATCTCTTCAGCACAGGAAATAAACCAACTTTCAATAACTTTTCACAAGTAAGAATTTTGTAATAGTTTGTTTTTTTATTTTCATCTGTTATTGAATATATTTAATGTATTATGATCCATGGATGAAGTATTTAAGATTCAATAGGTCAGATTATTAATTAGGAATTTGCTGCAGTTTCAAGCAATGTTTTTAACTTTTATTAAGAACTGTGGCTGAAATATGTGTCTCTGTTGTAAAGGTTACTTGATAAATAATCAACAAAAGCATAATGTGGTCAAGCACTGATTACACTTAATTGTAGAAAAAATGATAGTGTAATCTCATCGCATTCCCGGCAGAAATGCGTGGATTAGAGAAGTAACCATAACTGGACAGATCTTACGTTGAAAACCAGAGTGTGTAATTCATAATTTTGTTGTTGGATTTGTATTATGATTGTATGTATTTTATGATTAGCTGTGTTTTGCAAATACTTTTGTAATGGGTATATTTGTGATTTAATTATTGAATTCTTATTACTTTTTGTAGGTGAGTTACAGTATCCATATTTTATAACATTTCCTGAAAGTGTTCGGTTTTGATTTGCTAATATTTTTATTTTGCCCTTTTTTCTATTGATATATTTATATTTTTGCCCCATGTATAATTAATGTGATGATTTTGGAAACATTTATTTATAGTGGCATGTGTGGCTAGAATTCACAGTATACAAAAAATTCATTGAAGAAGATCAAGTATGTCAAACTAGGTTTTTGTATATCACAAATATTTATCAAACTTTGTATGGTTTTTTGTCATGCTGATGTTTATGATTCTTCCACAGGAGACTATAATGCCAGATCTACCGGAACAAGTGCAGACGATGCCCCTAACAGATTCCACCTCCTCCATTGCCTCACTTCCTATGTACTACCCAACCAGCGCATTATTATCAGACTGGCCAGAACAGTATATGAGGGCACGGTACAGGTAAGAGAGTGGTTGTGGTACTGAATGTTGTTGCCTTCCTCCTCATGTTGTTTTCCTACTTTCTTCTCTCCTCATTGCTTCTTTTTCTTCTTCTTTCTTCTTTTTCTACTTCTTTCTTCTCTCCTTTCTGTTTCCTTCTCTTCTTCTGGTTTCTATTAAATACTGGGATGTTGAATTTGTCTTTTAAATATTATGAATAAGCTTTTATCCTATTTGTTAGTGTTGATTGTTAAACCCAGGGATATATTTCAAAGTAATTGATTACGAACTTGTTGCAAATGGCTTCTTTTACAAAGTAGTGCATTGTTAATATTCCATTGGTAAAGTAAATGTGACATTGTAAGGTGTATCTCTCTCTCTCTCATCCTTTCACTTTCATATTTTATCTCTCTCTTTCTTGTTTATTTTATAGCAAAGATTAGTATTTGAATCTTTTCACTTTCTCATTTTATCTCTTCTTTTTATTTTATAGCAAAGATTAGTATTTGAATATTTGTTGTTTATTTACTTATGATTAATTATTGATTTTTTGAAGACTTGTTTATGAATGTTGAGAAATAGTATCTGTTTTTTGTTTTCTATATCATGGAAAGATTTGCTGTTGAAATAACATATTCTTGAGAGTTGTAAACAGTAGCATTTTTTCATTTGTATTCTGTTGCTATCTGGATAAAGCAAATCAAGTGACAAATATGGACATTGGAAAATGTAAAAAAAAAAATGCTTAAGCAGAAAAAAGAGAAAATAACATTATAAAGGGGTGGCATGGAGTCTTGTCCCCGCTTACGAGTGTTTGTGTGCCACACACCCATCAGAGTGGCTGCTCAAATAAGCCTTATGACCATATTTTGTGCCAAGTGATAGCGGTGAAGAGTCCAGATCCAGTTGGTTAATAAATATATATTTTTTTCTGATACGTAATTTTTTATCAACAGGCCAACCCCTCCTGTTGATCCATCTATCTTGGCAAGCATGAAGATTGTAGGTTCCATCGGCTATGCACCTAATTTGCACAACAGGAAAAGGAACCAGGTGAGTAAATAGAAAGTGTTTGTTGATACTGTTGTCTTCAAAGATCCAGTACACATTTAATTTTGTATAACCATTTAATTCATGGAAGAGGAAAGAGTTCTACATCGGAAAATTAAGATGTGAACTGTGTTGTTGTGAAGTGCCAGAATGATATATTATCTCCTAGTACATTTTGTAGTTGTATTGAATGTTGGATAAAGAAAATTTTGGTATTCAGGAACTCAGTCTTACAGTTAAGATTATGGTCTATTACCAGATGTTTATATATGGAGTTGTGCACTTGTACTGTAGACTATTGTTTCTCTTGATATTTGTGCTGTTACACAAACTACAGTAATGTATTGCCTTGATATATCATCAATATATTGTTTTACTTGATATTTGTAATTACAAAAACTACATTGATCCATTTTTTTCTCTTGATATTTGTTCTGTTATACAATCTACATTAATGGATTTCTCTTGATATAAGTGCTGTTACACAAACTGCATTATTTTATGATATTCCAAGCCACAGTGCTATCCTTTCTTCACCCAAATAACAAATTTTAGGCATTAGCTTTACCAATACAATATCTAGTCATTCTCCTAAGGGTGAACTTAGAATCCAAACAAAATCATAGTCTTATAGGGGAAATAAGAAGCACATTCATGACCTTCCTTAGTAAGTGGTTCAAGGAATGCTTCAGGTTGAATTTGTGTTGAAAAATCATTGCAGATCTGGTTATTAACCCTTCAATTTCAGATAGCCAGTATATGTCATTCACTGTCATCTTGGGTATGTGTATCGGATCAGTCTACAACCTTTATATCATACTGCCTTTGCATTATGCTATGACAGTTGGATACTTTTATGGGACATTAAACTTTAGAATAGCATCAAGGCTTCATTATTTCAGACAAGATCTATACTGATGAATATATGGCTTGAAAACACATGTCCTGTTGCCCACATGTGGCAAGTACCACCATGTTCATATGTGGCCCTGGAGTTTAGGCCTTTTGGTACTTTAGACGGCCAGTTGCCCACATGTGGCAAGTACCACCATGTTCATATGTGGCCCTGGAGTTTAGGCCTTTTTATTTTAGACAGCCTGGGGGATTGTATCAAGAAACAGGAAATCTAGATGTCTCCATTGCTTCTTACTGATTTGTGTGGTTTCGAGTTTGTGAGTTAGGTACATTCAAGGAGTATAGTTATATTTTGTAGCTTGTTGTAGATAAGGTAGTAGTTCTTTTTGTAAGTGGCTATTCCAAACTATTATTGGAAGACTTGTTTAAGAAAAAAGTTCTTGATGTTTTCTCTCATTGTTCATAGGTGCCTTACAAGTTCAGCAGAAACAAAGGACCAAAATCAAACTCCAATGAGAATTCAACAGGCAAGAATGAAGACGGCATAGCGGTGCATGTCCCCTGGAGATATCGCAAAATGGAGATAAAATACAGCAAGTTGGGGATGGATGACTTTGACTATGACCAGTACAATCGCACAAGTTTTTCGGGACTGGATATGTCTCTTCCAAATTCTTACTGCAATCCTATGCTTCAGGTTTGTTTTCACTATTGTATGATTGAATAATTCTTTATCCACTTTTAGGGAGGAATAATTGTTTGG